AGGTGCACAGAACACTGTTTGTTACCTTCCTACCAAAGTGGCACCTATTTATTCATTAATATTTGCATGCTTTCAAACTGCTAGGTGGGCAGGAGCTGAGGCAAGTAATAGGAGCTCACCTGTCGTGCGGCACTGTCAGCTTTCCAGCTGACAAACTCAGCATCTTTAACAGCTGAGCCACTGAGCCCCAATTTCAATCCCAGATGAATTTGGTTGTATCTCAGGTGTCAACCCTTCAAAGTCGATCAGATCAGGAAACAGATATCACAGGAAATGCTAGAACTCGAAATCAATTTATAGCTTATAACAATAGACTCTTGAAAATATGCCACTGTTTCCCCTTCTTCTATCAAAGAGAGTCAAGGCAGGGCAGCCTTGAGTTTTTCTCATCTCTTCCTGTTTTCTAGGCTAAGCCCATGTTTCGCCAGTGATTGACATGTATCCTCTTCAAAGCCATCTCCTTGCTCCTCTGCATCAGATTTATGTGTTTAAACAGCCCCAGATGCAATTCTCCTTTAGCCTTTGCTCAGTATTCTATATGGGGAAATGGCCATTTATTTGGTCTCATCCGCTATTCCATTGGGTAAATAACCTCAAGTGTTCTTTGGTTAATGACACATGGAATCTATTGCCCATCCCAACAGGGACATTTAAATAGAGTTAAAGATTGCCAGATTGCCACATGCACTAAAATATATTTAGAATATTCCAAGTTGGCTGAAAATTGATGAAATTACTGATGATAATTCATAGAAATGACCTAAAAATCCTTTGGTGGTATTACTTTTATAATATAGGTAATCGAGTTATGAGCATTCTTTTAGTTAAGTGACACTCCCCCAGTTCATTCTGTTGAGTTAAAGGGCTATATCTGGGACGAATTGTATAAGTACTTCATTAACAACAAGAGCTAATTTGGAGTTGTCCTACACAAAAAAATTAACATTTTAATGAAATTTTCATCACACAGATTCTAAATGCGTGTCATACACCACCCAGAAATTTCTGATGACTTCCATAGTCATTAATGCCTTTAGAGATGAAGAAGAATAGATTCACTGTTTCGAATAGTGGCTAAAATTTGAACATTCAGTATCTCTGCATAAATATGGGCTAGCTTTGGATCTTTTACCTCAATAAATAAATGAACAAGTATAATGTTTTTGACTCATTTGTTTAATTGGGTTCTCTTTAGTTTTGGGATGTGTAGAGAACAGATCACATTTTGGGTCATATTTATGCAGAAATACTGGAAATTCCCTCCTTCGCTAAATCGGGTGTAGGTGTGGCCAGCATGTGACGCATGCAGGCCGTGAGTTTGACAACCCTGGTCTAAAAAATACACATTACTTAGTTGAAGTTTGCCTTGGAGAAATGGATCAATATTTCTACATAGCAGTGCAAAAAAGTGGTAACAGGAAATATTTGATTGCAATTTTTTTGCATTTAAAGATGGTTCACCCAGATAATGAATCTAAGGAGCTTGTTTATTTTTCACACTGACATCTTACATGTTGAATGATGTTAGGAAACGAATGAAACAAAAACCCAACTTTGATGTTAGTGGCTCAGTAGACTCCTTTTATATACCACTGGGATCTACATAACTTCTGGTAACCGTTCAGCAACAAAGATATGCAAACATTCAGAAAGTCCAAAGGGGAACTAGGCTTTTTAACCAGAGGTATAATTGCTGACATGGTTAAGCAAATTCTTTCGTTTAACATATTGGGTGGATTGCTGTCAAAATCATCATAGCGATATTTTGGATGTATATCCTAAAAGATACTTGATATTAAAGGTATGTCATTAGAAGAGAATTGTGGCAATGCTGATTTGGAGGGTTTCTCCCCCCCCCCCAATATTGTCCAGGAGATACAGTAGTTTCTCTTTTTTTTCTTTTTTCTTTTTTTAAAAAAGGAGGGGGGAGTTTATGAGATTGGAAGTCAACTTCATCAGAAATGTTTTCTTTATAGCTTTTCTTGCTGTTATTTTACATGAGGGTGGGGCTCTTGTTCATTTCCTTCCTTTCAGTGTTCACTGTTAGTTTTCAAGCAGGGGAAAAAGCAACATATGAAAAGAATTGTTTACCTGAAGTAATCCTTCTAGAAGCATTTTTCTGATCTGTGACAGTGAAAAAAATCCTGATTTGTTCAAGGGCCACACGAGTCCTGTATACATTCTCTGGGGCACTTTTATTGTATTATGTTTTCGGTGCCCCTCTTTTTGATGTTTGAACCATTTGCAAGCTATTGTTTTGTTTGTATAACCTGAAATGTTAGTAGTATCTGCATACAAATGATAGCATGTTTTTCCAGCCAAATAGGCACTGTATGTAACTGGTGAATCTCTTCTCCAACATTACAGTTTATAGTACCAGAAATGTTTAATAAGCAATGTGTAAGAACTCCTGGATATAGTAGGATTTGAGGTTAAAATGCATGATCATATGGTTTTAAGAGGATGCCCATTTCATAATTCATCTCAGACTTCCCCCAAGCTGGCATTTTCCAGATGTGTTTGGATTTCACTTCTCATAAACCCCAGCTGAAAAGTCTTATTTTAACCTTATGTTTCATAAAGTTGGGGCTTTCTCCTTTTATTTCTGAAGGATTGTGGTTTTCTTCAGTGTTATTTCTATATGGTGGCTTTGTGATATTCTTACTCCACTGGTATCTGCATACAGTTGCACTTCCATTTCCGCTTTTGTATTGCTGCTACCTCTTAAAGTTAGTCTTCGTCTCAATAGACATTTCAACTGTTCTTTCCTGCTTTGTTAAACCAAATACCCCAGGTTTTTTATGCATCCTTTAAGTTAATGGATTTTAGATACCTTGATTCAAAATTGTTGGCAGCATAATGCACCATTTGGGCTGGCTTAAGTATATAAATAGGCAAACACATTACTGCAATGAGAATTTTGGAGATCATTTTTCTATTTTTCAAATAGTGACCTACAGTAGGTTTGCTTTGCAGATTCTACAAACACACAAAGATTGCCTTTGTGCATTTCTTCAAAATGATGTTCCCATTTTCAACATACTGTATAACAGTAGTTGACATTTAACAAACCAGATGTGTGTCATCTGAAGCTAATCACTGTAGGGAAAACCATCCATTTGAAGCGAACCTTTGAGTTAAGTTCAGAGACAGACTTGCCAAGAACATTGTAATAGCTCGAAATAATATATCTTACTTAACCTGTTTCCCAATTAAAAAAAAAAACCAACACTGCAGAATTAACATGAGAATTGAGTGAGACACCACTTTATATACTAAGATACCAAATCCACTTATTACAAAATCAGAACTAGAAGTCGTTCCTAATGTGATTATAAGCACAATATGTAGACTGATCTCTGAAATACCCAAGCATAGGATGTCTTGGTAATAGGTAAATTAATTTATTTTAAGGTTTCCTGGCTGCTTTTGCTCCAACTGTTAATTATAGAGGTTTTTTTTTTCCTCCCCATTGTAACTTTCTGTTACATATAAAACCTTAGACATTGTTCTGTACCCTCTAGATCTTGGACTCCTCTGCAGTGGTAGGTCAAATTTGGAAATTCAGATTTTGGCTTGGGAGGTAATTAGCAAAAGCTAAATCAGCTTCGGTCCCTTAACACCCTGATAGAAAAGCATTCAGGAATGACTCCTGGACCTCAGAGATAAGCTGCCAGCTGCCACAGAGACTATAAAAAGGTGGTTCAAAGTCAAGCATAAACAGCTGACTTAAAAAAAGAAAAAGAGCCTTGGATTGTTGCTGCTGGTGACAGGAAGCCATGTTCCCCAAGCTGTCAGCTTCCTGCTCCCCCTCCCCCAATTCCATCCCACAGCAGATCAGAGCATTTGTCACAAGGCAGCTGTCTCTTTTAGCAAAGCTGTTTGCTGCCTAACCTCAGAGAGGGTGGGTTCCCTTTTCTTCCTTGAAAATTAGCTAATTAAATGCAGTATATTTTATTTTCGCTAGTTGGACAGCTCATAAACACATGGCTGGGTTCTTCAACAGAGTGCAAATTCTAGAAGAGAAATATCAGTGTCTTTTGAAGATGAATGGCATGAGCATACGGGCACTTTAATACTTTGATTGCTGAAAATTGAATGGTTAGTTTTATAGAAGGTAGAAAGATAGTGAACTTCAAAAAAAGTATCATTCTGTATTTTGACATTTTTATCCCTAGTGGCTCTAAAATATTTAATTTGATATAGGGAACTCCAATCTACAAGTTATCTTGTTTAATTAATATTATTTATTAATAAATGCTTTCTTTAAGTATTACAGATGCCTTGATTTAAAAAAAAGTTTGGGAAAGGCAAACAAGCATGATTGTCCTTCAGAATCTTTTTGAGCTTGTATAATAATTTCAAAAGGTGTATGGCATTTATCTGATTGTGAGAGGTCATTGCCCTACTGTATTCTTCTGTAAAGTAAAACAACTGTTTTTAAAATGCAGATGTATTAGTAGGAAAGCCTTCCATCATGAGGGAATTTAGGAGAAATAGTGCAGCCCTCTGGCTAAAAAGCAGTTGTTAGTAAGCTGCCTGGTCAGCTATCAACACTTCCTGTTTTCTCATGAGAATCCAGCTTGTCTAGCATGACAAATTTTTATCCTTCCCTCAACTAAAATGTGTTAATGTGTAAATTTCACATTGGTCTTCATAGTGCCCAAAGTTGCTAGATAGTGAGATGGGCAGCATATAAATTTAATAAGAATAGTTTTTGAAAATATTTAGCAGTTATAAAAACCATTTCTAGTTTTGAATAAATGGATATGGGACAGGTTACAGCAGTGGGAGTTTTTGGTGGGAGTTTGGAATTATCCGGTTTTGATTTCCTTGTGGCAACCTTAAAAATTAGATTTGTTTTAAAAATATATAGGTTATGAGAGAGTGCATACATAACTGTGTTATGATATGTTAGAAAATTAGTGTATCTCTAATGTTGCTAAGGTCTGTGGCCATATCATCTTTTTCCTGTTTGGGGATTATTCTTTATCTTTTAGAACCCTGTTTGAAGCTGATCCACCATGCCATTAGTAACAAGAAATATCGAGCCAAGGCACCTGTGCCGCCAGACATTGCCCAGTGTTCGGAATGAGCTGGAATGTGCGACCAACATCACCCTGTCAAATGTCATTCGACAGCTGGGCAGCTTGAGTAAGTACCATAGCAAACTGCTCTCAAGAGCTGTTGGGCTCCCAATTCTTTCTCGGTGCCCTCTTTCCCTGTGACTTATTTATTATCCATCTTTCTCTAGTACCAAAATATCTTCCACATAATGTTCTCTGAAAGGAATGCACAGGATAGTTGGAGTTAAAGCTGAGAGAAAAAAAATGAGGCACACTATTAAGCATTGTTCAGATTCCAGGGTTCAGAATTTCATCAGAACATAAAAGGAAGCAATTTAATGATTAGAACTGAACTTAAAACTTACTTCATTGCATACCTGAAATCCCCCAATTTTCATCTATTACCTTGTTGAATATGTCTGCAGATGAATAATAATAAGTTGGCTATATTTTTTAATCTGGTTGGACAATAACTTCATATAAAAGCTGAATAAAACGTGAGATGGAGTAATAAAAAGAGAAATCAGTCATAGCAATTTTTGCAACTGAAGTTACCTTCATAGCAATCTTCATTTTTCCAAAATGATTTACTGAACATACTTCATTTACTCTTTGAAATAAATAATCAAACAGTGATTCTATCCAAGCTGTCAAAAATGTGGTAGTTGAGGTTATTAATATTTCTAATATGCCCAATAACCAGAATTCCCTCAGCAAATTACTTAAAGCATGGCAAACAATCAAACAGTAAAAAGAATTAATAAGCAGAACAGGAATGATTTAATGAAAACCATACAAAACCAACATCTCAATATAATATGAGCGCTTAAAATCAAAAGCTGACTGTAAAAATGTGTACAGTTTTTATAACTATATTCCTGTAGAAGAAGAATGTCTTAACCTGGCATTGATAACACTTCAGTGCAACTGCCTGGTATTCTGTCCTCAGCAAAGCTTTTGACAGAGCCTTATTTGGCAGGAAACCTAGAGACAGGGCACCTAAAGGAGAGCCTCTAAAGATGACTGAGGGCGTTTAAGAATCATCATTTACACATAGTCCTCAGCGTTCATAATCTGAGGGCTCTCTGTAACTGATGGTTCCTTAGCCCCCTCCTCAGCACTGAACAAGTGGTATTTATGACTAGTCCTCAAAATTCCAACCATCAAATAGCCATCCCTACAGTCAGATGATCATGATTTGGGTGCTTGGCATCCAGCTGGTGCTTATGACTGTTGCAGCATCCCGCATGACGACCATTTGTGGCTTTGCCACTTTCTCACAACTTGCAATGGGGAAGCCGGCAGGGAAGGTCACAACTTGCTTTCATAAGTTGCTTCCACTGATATTCTCCTGATGCAATGGAGTATGAGATCCTAAGAAACTTGTATTCAGTAGCACCGTTACCCAGCACCTGTGGCTCCTAGCAGCATACCCGCACTCCTTAGCTTTACATTTTTTTGTCATTTGCTAGCGAAAATGCTAGAATTGTGATTTGCTTAACCTTGTGATTCACTTTAGTTGACTATGGCGACTCTCTTAACAACCATCAGAAAAATCATTATAAAATCGAGTCTGCTTATGTGATGATTCAACAGGAGGACCACAACGCCTTAGTCAAAATTCTTGTCTCAACTGTCGTAAGTTGAGGGCTGCCTGTATACAACCTGATTGCGATATGTGTATCTCCAAAAAGAAGGCTGGGTCCTATTTTCTTTTGACCCCCCCACTTCTTCCACTTCTTCCCCTGCTGAAGATCTGTTGTCTTCTTTGTTCCCTACCCTTTTTGGAAGGAACCACAGTATTTCTGCCTGCAAAGCAAATGTGTGCACAAGACAGTTTGACGTGTACATAAAATGCTGCTTAAACTCTTGAGGTTTGAAAAGGTTGAAATTTAGCAGCAGAACAGTCTGGATATTACTGTTGAATTAAAATTGTGGAAGGAACCTTTTCCTGAAATCATTGTGCATTTCTAAGGAAATGGGGGAGGGAGGAATGAGGCAGATCTTATTCTGTTCTTGATTATGATATTTTTTTATTATTTAAATTTGGGTATGATTGAAGAAAGCCAAAACCTTTTTAAGTCTTACTCTTTCTGGATTGTTTTGGAAATGGTACATATATATCCCTGCTGCAGTTAACCCAGAAAAAAATTATATACATGTAGCATTTTTTATCTGAGCTTGTTTTTCTCTCTCCCTGCTTCGCACATTGTGGAACCACTTCTTTTCATATCTGACATTTGTGCAGTTACAGAGTTTAGGGGATAGTATGATCAAAAAGCAATATTTTTCAAGATAAAAAGTTTATTGAAAAAGTTGACAATTATTTCATCTGCAGATCCTCAGAGATCCGCTAATTTCCCTGGGTGTTAAGTCTCAATAGAAATACAAACTGAGAGTCAAATAAAATAGCATGTGTTGCATTTAATCAAAGGTAGTAGCATCAAGGGAGAATTATGTTTGTACAAAGAAAAAAGTGCAAATTTGGCACTATGAAGTATGGAAGAAAACCCTTTAAAGTACTGTGTGACTAAGAGTACTTTATATTGCAGTCTACATTTGGGTATTCTTTCTAGATAGGATCACAAAAAAAAAAAAATCAAAATCTCACAGTGATATACATAGTATACATAAGTATAACATACAAATGCATAACTCTAAATGAATTTGCTGCCTTTTTTGTATGGTGAAGTAGTTACAGTGAGGGTGGGTGAAGGAAATGTGGCTAAAAGAATTCACATTAATGTTGTTCACTATATCTATATATATGAAAGCGAAATACCACTCACGCATCATCACAAAATCTCTAGAACCATAAAGCCTAGAAACTTGAAATTTGGCATGTATGTTCCTCTTGGTTTCTAGGTAGTCAGTAAGAAAGGATTTTTCCAAATGACCACCAGAGCCATTAGTATTTCCTATATTATTATTATTAACACGCTCTGATGCTAAGGAGTTCTACTCCCCTCCCCACCTGAAAAGAAATCTCTTCCAACTGCAGTTCAGCTAAGCCATGCCCAGGCTCCTTGCTGTCTCCTTCTTGCTCACATAGCAAATACTGTTTCAGTTTCCAAACAGCCCTCAACTCTCTCACTCCCCACCTGAAAAGAAATCTGTTCCAACTGCAGTTGAGCTAAGCCACGTGCAGGCTCTTTGCTGTCTCTTTGCTCACACAGCAAATACTGTTTCAGTTTCCAAACAGCCCTGAACTTTCACACACACACGACAGGATGCTAGCCAGATGAATACCAATGGATGCTGGTAGGCAGAGGCCCAATTTTTTATTTTCCTCCCCCAAAACTTACTCGATCACATAGTTTCGTAGTGAAGCACGGGTACCCTGCTGGTATTTCCATATTTTTCGGTCTTTGATAATCATTGTTGCTTCTCCTGGTTTCCTAGTGGGTCGCCGCAGCCAACTTGCCAGGGCCAACTCACTATAGGACAAGACTTATTCTAATATCAAAGAAACAATGGAATAGAATCCTTTGAAAACAATTTTATTAGTTTTTAAAAACAAACAAAACAAACAAAACATAAAAACATCAGCTTTCTTTCATAAATATATACAAACAGTGTGTCGGTTGGTTTATCAGTTTTTGTGCATTCATTTCGTAGTCTCAATTACACTTACATAATAATTCATATTATCAATCAAAAATTATATATCCTAGTATCACTATGAAACAATCATTTGAGTATAATTTTATTCATTCATACTTTATGAGATAAGTATAATTTACGTAGTTTATTTTATAACAAATCATATAGTCATACCAAATCTATCCTAAAAACATTTTATAGATATATCAAATAACAAAGAAAAGAAAAAATATCTTTTTATATATTCCTTATTATCTAAAATTCTAAATATTCTATTATTGTATTTTATCATCCAACCATTGATAGAAAAGGTCCCAAATTTCATAGAATTGTTTATCCTCTTGCTCTCTAATTTCAAATGTCAATCTACTCATCTCAGCACATTCCAATATTTTCTTAATAATTTCTTCCTGCAATGGTATTTTCTCATTTTTCCAATTTTTAGCAAATACAATCCTAGCCGCTGTTAATACATTTACAATCAGATATTTCAAGTCTTTACTGTATGTATCAGGTAAGATTCCCAATAAAAAGATCTCTGGTTTCAAATCTATGGAATAGAATCCTTAAAGAAAAGATGCATAAGGAGAGACAGAATGAAACGTGAATGACAAAAATTAAAATATTTTTAAAAAAATTATTTTAATTATTAAGTTGGATTGTTACATTGTCCTGCAGCGAGTTGTCCCACGTCGAGCTGGCTGTGGCGAGTTGTCCCATTCCGTTTCCTCGTGCTGCACACTTGGGATCTGTGTAATCTATTGTCTTTGTGAAAACAAGGAGCCCATCAATATAATTGAATAAATACTAAATGATTTTCTTCATTTCCTTGGCATTTCAAAATCGTTGAACACTGCTGAGGGCTTCTCGGGAGTCCACGGGAAACTTCAGGTGTTCCATACGTTTGCTTGTAGACTTTAATTTGTTTTAATTATTTATTTAAAACATTTTTTTTAATATCTGCTCCCCATGAAGTTTCTTTTCCAGACCTTTTGTTTGATTTAGTAGAAGCATTAAATCTCCCATACAACATTGGAACATTATTTTCAACCTTGAAAGTACCTTGCTTTGTTTTCTGGTGCTGCCACCTGCAAGTAATAAATGACTTTGTGCCCAGTGTGAAGGAAAGCAAGAGAGATGGGATCTCCTCTGGGTATCATGTAATGAAGTCAGCCTTTTAGAGCTTTCAGAAGACCGTGGAATAGAGCTCTATTTTCTTTATCCCGCAGACCATATTAGAAGCTAAAAATACCCACGGAATGTGTAATGGCCTTCTTAGGAAAGAGAATGGTGGGTTTCAAAGTGTTACAAGTGTTGAATGTCTGTGCTTTTCCTCTTTATCGGGGAAACAGGAAGGCACTTCCACAGTGCAATAACAGGCGGTTGGGAGGAGGTTCAGGGAATCCCCACTTTAATAAATGGAAGAAAATAAACTTATCCACTTGCCAAGATTGCTGTAATCTAAAACTTGTTTTATCCTGCCAGTAAATCTGGTTATTAAGCTTGTGAGAATCTTATTTTTTGATTATAAATAGCTGTTTGGCTGTGATGCTGCAGTTTGATTCCTGGTTGTCTTTCTTACTACTTAATATGTCTTTACCAATTTTGTATCACTTCCTTTTATTTTGAAAGATGTTCTTGTCAATTTATAGCAGTAGCTATAGCTTGCTGAAGGCAATTGGTACCTCATTACTATTTGTTTCGGATTTGGTTTTCCTGCGCTTTTAAGTATTGTGTTTTATGCTTTATTAGTTTTAAATCATAAATAAGCTTAACTTATGAAAGTACCGTATGTATGTTCACAGTTTCTGTGGAACCTTTTTTTTTTAACTAATGTTCTAGCTTTGACTTATTTTATTGAGGTCAACTTGTGACTACATGGCCACACATTTAGGGTTGTTGGGGTTTTTTGTTCATTTGTTTTTTGGCAATTGTTGCTTTTTTTCTGGGAAAATTTTTCCAGCATTTCAGTCTACATGCCTCTTTTTTTTCTTTTTCAGGTAAATTTGCAGAGGACATATTTAGAGAGCTGGTTACACAAGCAACCACATATGCTGTTCGGGTCACCTCTTTAGTTGAGAGAGTTGATCGCCTTCAGGTGAAAGTTACTCAGTTGGATCCCAAGGAGGAAGAAGGTATATATAAAATGTTATATTTTTAGAACATTATGGTTCATAACTGCAGCAAAAGACTTTTTTGTTTCTTGAGACTTTGGAAAACCACATTGAATCATCCAAGAGTCTCAGCTGACCCCTCATGCTCGCCCAAGAGATTCTTGTACAAAAGTGGTACCTTGCCTTATTTTGTTAAGTCACTTCATAATAGTGAGAAGCATAAATGTCTTTTTGCTTACCACTCTATAGAGCAGTGTTTGGCAGTTTGAAGATGTGTAGACTTCAATTCCCAGAATTCTCTATGCTCTCTGAGGAATTCTGGAAGTTGAAGTCCACACATCTTTAAGTTGATATGGTTGGGAAATACTGATATAGAGGAAAGGACAACCGCAAACAGATTTCATTCAAAAGAAGCACTCCTTGCCTTGAGGTCCTCTCCAGCCCTCTCTTCTGATTAAACCGTAGAATTCAGCTGCTTGTGTTCAGTGTGCAGGTTAACTGCCAACATTTTTGAGAAGGAAAGGGAACACAAGTGTAGAAGAGACTAAGAAACAAACTTGCAAGGTATAGTCACTTTTTGCAAGTTCAGATAGTCTATTGCAGAGGTGTTGAAGTTTGAATTCTGGGATTTGAAGTCCACAAGTCTGAAAGTTGCCAAAGTTGGATACCCCAATCTGCTGCATCCATTGGATTACTGGTAAGAGGAGGAAGGGAAAGCACCATATTGACCTGGATTTTATTAGAGTCTAGATGTATATAAAGCTATCTTCCTACCCGTTGGATAGTTGTTTCTTTTTCACTTAAAGCTGTTTGAAATACTTTACTTTCTGATTGGTTAAATAATCATATAGGTTTTTGTAAAATTGCCAACTACTCATTTTCCATGATTTTTTTTTCAATCTCTGTTTAGCAAGGTCTGGTTTTCCATGTTTTGTTCTGTTTTTAGTCAAAGACAAGCATATACACATAAAATCAATCAAATTCATAATTACAATAGAGAAGATCCAGGAGGCAACAAGAAATTACCTATGGGAATATTGGTTTTTTTTTAAAGAAAAGTTTCAAAGAATCCAGCCATGTTTGATAATATTTGTTGCCACATTCTCACAACTGCTGGACAAAATTTGGCAAACACTCTGGGAATTGCCTCATAGTTTGCCAGGAAAAAAAAAGAAAAACTCTTCACGATCTCTATGTAGTATTTTACTTTGAATACGATGACTTAATTCCATAGCAGTTTGGGTCCTTTGGTAAATATTCCTTTCTACTGGCTTTTGGCAATTCTCTTTTGGGAACGGCATCAGAAAAGAGTTTTTATTTATGAAAGCTTTCTTGGAGGCGTGGCAAAAAGTTTACATTTGTAAACATATTTTTGTGTTTCAAATGACTATTTTATTTCCCATTTCTTTTTCTTCATAGTGTCCTTGCAAGGTATTAATACCAGGAAAGCCTTTAAGAGCTCCACAACTCAGGACCAAAAGCTCTTTGAGAGAGAATCTGCCCCCCTGCCTGTCCTTGAAACATACAGCACTTGTAATAAACCGCCCCCTCTTAACATTCTATCCTCATACAGGTAATATATCCAGGAGAAATATCATGTTCTTGCTTTAAACTCTCTCCTCTAAAGAATGTGGAATGGCATCAAATGGCTCGAAAGAGAGCTTTCTGTTTTAAGTTTAAATTTGGTTTAAATGTTTTTGGGTTTTTGAGGAAAAACAGATTTGATAGAGAAAACAGAAAAGCAGGGATGGGGATGGTTGCCATGATACAAATTTATAAACGGAGGATTTGGAAACAACTATTTGTTGATGAGACTAAAATCTTAAAATTTAAAGTTACTTAATTGTGGAAATTAATTGTATCTGTATTTGCATATAAAGAACTACCTTCTTTAACTTTGTTGGACAATCCAAAATCAGCCTTCTAAATTAACAAAGACAAAATAGCCTGTTTGGCCAATTTATAGTTGTTTTACTTTAATAGTATTGTATAAACTTCCTATGTGGCCAGCCTAACATACAATGCTTCTCTTATGTTCTTCAGGGTGTATAATTTAATGCTGCTTTCCTATTTAACGTTTTGCAATTAGCAGTGCATAGATTTGAAGGTAGGATTGCTGGAACAACTCGCAAACTAATTCTCTGGGAAATGTAATTGTTGGACCCTCAAACCTGATAGTGATAAAATTCTAGGAGAGAATGTGATGGCGAAACCAATTTCTCTGCTTAACGGTTCAATTCTGCTATATCATTTTATGTGGCATATTTTGGTTTATGACTATATAATGAAAAGCAGGAAAACATAAATAAATGTCTTCTTGTAAAGTAACATATAACTAAGAATATTATGATTGAGAATTACTTGAAGGTAAAGAATATAAATATTTCTTTAACCCATATCCATTAACACCTTTTTTTGAATAGGAAAAATATAATTACAGGTAGCTGGAGGCAGTTGTCTTTTTTAAGAATCCCCTTCCCCCCCCACACACATTGCCAGTTGTGTGTGTGTGTGTGTGTATCCATGCTATCACAAAATGTTGCCTTTTGCATGTTGAAGTCTGGTGCAGAATGGGCTAAAAATTTGCACTGCTTTTGGTTTACCTTAAAGGGGGAACTTATTGTTAAGAGACAGTGGTATTTTCCCTTATCTCTGTTTCATATCTGGTTGCCAGGTACACACGCGTAACCATCTCATTCTGTATGGCTATCCTTCTCTCCTAGGGACGATGGCAAAGAAGCACTTAAATTCTACACTGATCCATCATATTTCTTTGATCTTTGGAAGGAGAAAATGCTGCAGGATACCAAGGATATTATGAAAGAGAGACGGAAGCATAGGGTGAGATGTGCGGTGCTGTTTTGGTCATGCTCGTTTGTTTGGTTTTACCTTTAAGGAAAGAGAAGGAAAATGTAGAAGGTTTCCATTGCCTGACTGCAGGCAACTCTGGATATGGACACCAATCACAGAGCTGGTTGTGTGGGGCTGGTTTTTTCTGGCAAGGGGAGAGACTTCACTCGACTTCTTTTATACATTATATCTGCTGCTGCTCTAGTGCCCTGTATTCTGTTACAAGAATGATATATGAAGTAAATAAGGCAACTTTTTGATGGCCAAAGGCCATATTTATCTTACGGGGAGCTGCAGGCAGCAAAGTAGATGGAACCACATCTCTTACTGTGAGCGGGCCAATTTGGGGAAAGGTGTTTTGAGGTCTTTCTTTGCTTTTTTTTTTTGCCTTTGATAACCCTGGTCTGGATTTAGAGTTTTCTTTTATTTTCTAACTAAGAACAGGATGAAATACGCCATTATTTTCAATAATTGTTGGAAGGGAACTCTGCGGGCTTAAAATAATGCCCATCCGGAGTATTTTTTTTGTAACAAAATAGTTCATATTGTTATAATAACTATTGAATGTCCAATGATAGAATTATTTGTACACTTAAACCTGCAATTGAGCAAAGTTAGGATTTCCTAATATGTTACCTGCTACATAACATGTTTCTCCAACAATACGCCCCCCCCCAATAGGAAGGCCCAGCACTGTTTTATAGGCATGTGGTGAAATTAAGTCACGCCCTAAAAATTTGGGCCTATTTAAAGCATGCGTTCCCTGCCATTTCTCACATTGCTTGAACAACACGAGGTGAAGAGAAATGGGGGAGAAGGGCGGGGGGCAGTTGCTGTTAGGAGTGCCCCGCGGGTAGCCTCGGCTAGAGCACCCCGTGGGCAGCCACGCCTCGCCACCAGCCGCTTCTATCAGCCAATAGAAGTGGCTGGTGACGAGGCGACTCTGCCCGTGGGGCACTTCTATCGGCCAATAGAAGCGGCTGGTAGCGAGGTGACTCTGCCTGTGGGGCACTTCTATTGGCCAATAGAAGCGGCTGGTGACGAGGCGACTCTGCCCGTGGGGCACTTCTATTGGCCGATAGAAGCGGCTGGTGGTGAGGTGAGTCTGTGCGTGAGGCGTTCTAGGTGGGAGTATGCGTGGGGGAGAAATTAAGTCACTCGTAAAAAAGCTTTACCTAGATGGCATTTTCCTATGCCCTTAACTGCATTTTTATTTGAGGATGGAAAATTTGCAGTTTCTAAGAAGTTTTTTCCATCCCCATGATCCCTTTAGTAGCTTCCTTTTAGGCTTTCTTAACCAAAAATTTTACCTTACTTAGTGCGTGCCAGCCTTCTGCAATTAATTTGTAGAAATTCTGAACCATTAAATTAAGGTTTGATTTAGCAGTGTTGACATCAGGGGCTATTATGTAGCAATTGCTTGCTTATAGCAAAACAAAAACAACCCCAATCCAGCTGTTATTTATTTGTGTTTTTATATTTGTGTATCTGCCTATAGCAGGTAAAATGTGATCCTGTGATTGAATTTTTGAAGAATATCTTGCTGGTCTCTTTTGTAAAAATGCACATTATTTTCGCCCGTCTGTGGACACCTATTTACAAAGCATACACCTCAGATAAAACATTGATGCCTAAGATCTATTAAATACTAGTGCTTTTGGATAGGTGTAAGCCACCCAGAGTCACCTTATCAGGGAGATGGGCAGCATACAAATTCAATAAATAAAACATAAGTGTAGCGAGACCTAGTGAGACAACATGTTCCTTCTTATGTATATTTTTATTGAGATAACCTTTCTTTGCTGATGATGAGCTTAAAGAACTAATGGCACCTACAATTGCTTCCTATTTATTTTACAGAAAGAAAAGAAGGATAATCCTAACAGAGGAAATGTAAACCCTCGGAAGATAAAAAGCCGAAAAGAAGAATGGGAAAAAATGAAAATGGGTCAAGAGTTTGTCGATACAAGAGAAAAACATGGACTGGGAGGGTAAGAGATAAACTGTAATAGTAACCATGGAGTTGTTCCTGTGACCAACGAGGCTAAAGGTTTCTGTTTCCTGAATAGTAGCCTTTCTAGGAAGGGATGTTAATGTGTGTAGTCTGTTTGACTGAGCATGCTCTAGCTCAAAGTGAATAGCTGGAGTAGATCTTTGAATCCTAGCACATTTCTTTAAGGCTATATTTTTAAAAAGATTTCTTTTAAAAATCTGACTTCTTATCAAACTAGCTTGGGGTCATACTAAGAAAACTGTACTGGTCTGAAATGTAAGTCATCAGGAGTAGTGGTTGACTTGAAAGTGACTTTACTTTTATTACATTTAATGCAGAAGTGCAGGGATTTGAGACCTGTTAAATAAATACTATGTTGTTTCATTTAGAATTCACAGAACCTTTTATTTATTGTATAGCCTTGGTGGCTCAGTGGTTAGAATGCAGTATTGCAAGCTGATTCTACCGACTGCCTATAGTTTGATCCTGACCAGCTCAAGGTTGACTCAGCCTTTCCTCCTTCTGAGGTCGGTAAAATGAGGACCTAGATTGTTGAGGGCAATATGCTGACTCTGTAAACCACTTAAAGGGTGCTTTACAGTGGTATATAAGTGCTATTGCTATAGGGAGCAAATTGAGCAAAACAGATTTGATATTTACATAGTACTACAAACTTAACTACACATCTTTGATTTTCCTTCAACAATTTATCTACTGTTGATTAGAACCAATATAAATTGCTATTGTGAAACTAATCTGGAGATTGTTGTTCCTACTAGTGGCTTTAGAACAAAACTGAACATGTTCTGCAAACTACCTCTTCCTTACTTAGGATACTATGGCATTTAAAAGAAGAAAATTCTGCCTGTCGGCTTGATTTGGGGGTAATTTAATTATCAGAAATATAAATCGTCTACTTTTATTTGGGCCCAGTCATTTTGCTATAGAGATATCTTGGATATCATGTATTCTTAATTACATTAACTGGAAACACTAATATGGAATAGTTTTTTTTACCCTAAGAAACAAGCATATGAGATAATTCTTATGATCTTCTGCTATTTAGGAGAAAGTAGACATGGTCTTCTTTAGGGGGTCTATCTCCTTATTAATTGAAATTAAAGGTTAAAGAAAACTATCCATTTTAAAAACAAATTTCACTGCATTTAGGGGTTACTGCAGTGAAATGTTCTTATCCTGTCAATAATAAAAGCCTCTGGCAGGAGGAATTCCATTTCTGTCTTTTATTATATCTTAAAAAAAGCCTTTCTGTCAAGGTTATACATACAGTACATACACATACACCTTCAGCTCTTTTTCCTTTTAAAAAAAGGTGGGGGGAACCACAGGTCTAAAATTGTTTCTTGAGTGGCACATCATTTGTGTTGCAAAAGATAAGCCTTTGACAATGTTGGAATAAATGAATGGCTGAACAGAGGGAGGCCATGAACTTTTTCGTGTGTGCATTCTGACCTCGTTGGAAGAGAGCTGCCCAGTTACTTTTCCAAGGTCCTCTCCGCGTGACCATGTGTGTTTATTTTCCACACATATTTACTCTTGTAATGAACTGGAAATGTCAATTAGGTATCTTGAAAGCCTTTTAAATTGTTTTGGCAAATGGTTGAAATTTGGATAATTCTGCATATCAGTTCTACATCCATCACTTGCAGCCAGGATCAGCTGGCTTGGGACGGCATAGCAAATTGGTAAAACTGTATGAATGTTAATCTGAATCAGAGTCATATACCACTGGCCCTATTTTGGTTCTGTTCTTCTAATAAGTGTGCATGAGATTGTCACCTGGAGTGGTCTCATTTGAAGCAGGCCCAAATGGCTGTTTACCCTTTCATATATATTTTTTACACTTGCCATTTTGTGTAAGTGTCATGTGTGACATGAACAGATGAATAATCATTTTGGAATAGGAGAAGATTTCTGGTATGATCCATCTTTTTTTTTTTTAGAATAGTATAATCTTTGATATATATGAAAATTTATATCTTGAACATTTTGCCTTTGACCATATACAGACCTCAACTTATGACTGCTATCGAGCCCAAAGTTTATGTTGCTAACTGAGATCTTTGTTAAGTGAGTTTTGCCCCATTTTATGACCTTTTTTGCCACAGTTGTTAAGTGAAATTGCAGCTGCGAAGTTAGTAACATGGTTGATAGGTGGCCCTGGCTTCCCCATTGACTTTGCTTTTCAAAAGGTGGCAAAGGGATATCAGAAAAGCCAAAAAAGACCCCAGGACACTACAACCGTTGTAAATGTGAACCAGATGCGAAGCATTCCAATTTTGATCACATAGCCAGGGGATGCAGCGGTCATAAGTGTGAAAAATGGTCATAGATCACTTTTTTCAGTTCCGTTGTAGCTTTGAATGGTCACTAAATGAACTGTTGTAAGTTGAGGATTACCTGTACAGATATAAAAGTCTAGCCAAGTTACTACTGTTTATATGTTTTGCATACGCTATAAGCATTCTACATTTGAAGTTCCTTTGAACTCTTGGAGGGGAAGGAGCTTGGCTCACAACTGTCCTTTTGTGGTTTTAGGTACCCTCCTAACATGGTGTATCAGAATGGTAGCATTGGTTCCAATGAGAGTGTTGATGCTGCCTACTATCCACCTCCTCCACAGCCAGAATCTGTTTCACCATCCCCTCCTCCATTGTCAGATGATAGTCTTCCGCCTCCACCAGCAGAATTTAGGTAAGTATGTATCGCTGAAGGCTCACTAACCATCAAAACAACTCAGGCAAGACCTTAAAGAGCCTGTCCATTAGTGAGGTCAATAGTTGTAAGATATTGTCAGAAGATATTTTGCAAGCAGTACTTAAACACTATGCTAAAACAAGCAGTTGCCCTTCTATGTTCGTTTCCATTGCAACTCTTATTATGCTTGTTTTATACAGCACTTTTTCCTCCGTAAAAACATTCAATTATTTATAGCCTTGGTGATGGTATATCTTACCATAATTACAAATTAAGAGGGAATGGGGAATTAGTTAATTCCATATTGGGAAGTGCTTTAATTAAAAGGGAAACAGATTCTTACTTGTAAAAGATATAAAATATGTGGGGTTAAGAATTTTATTGAAGCAAACGTGGGTGTATCTGGATACTCTTGTGCCTTTTGAAATATGGGCACATTTGGAATATGGAGACCATGTTAAATATGAAGAGCATGTCATAATGGCTATCATCAATTACAAGGTAGGTTTTTATCAGAAAGCAAGCAAAGCATAGGGCTGTTATCCCCCACCCCTGCCCCAATGTTATTTTCTAAGGATATTAGGCCTAGAAGCATATTGAAAATACTTGGTGCTTTGCTTGTTGCATGCTAGCTGTTAATTTTAACGGCCAATATGCTGCAAACGAAGCGCCAAGTGTGTCTTTTTTAGATTTTTCAAGATTCTTCTCATCTGAAGATTAAATATAAAATTAGGTAGGGCAGAGAGCTTCACAAGAACCAAAAAATGGGTCAGCGAACACATTAACCAGATGCCATGCTGGGGATTCAGCCTGTAATTTGTTTAGCATTGCAGCAAGCCAGAATTCTATAAAGGTGGGATTACAAGGGACATGCATTTGTTAACCTTGATTTTTTTTTAAAAAAAAAAGCATGCCAAGGTTATTTGAATGTGGGTTATGTTCAGATTCTTTTCACACCTATGGGAATCTTTCCAAAAGCCTAGGGTTCCAGAGGGAACATTGAATCTAAATTACAGAATTTATGTCAGTTCTTGTGAGGGATATCAGAGAACGGGAGGAACTGTTTGCTTTCACTACACTCAAGATGCACTTTTTCACTGACAGCGTTTGATCCTGTTTGAAAAACTCATTTCAGCTGTTCTTTCCCTCTCCGTTCTTCCCACTCTCCATTCCACAGCTATCCACCTAGCCAGAGTGTTTCTGGAGGGCTGAAGAAATCCATCCTTGTCAGCCCCAGCCATCCTCCACCAGATCCTCCTATTAGCTCACCCCCGGGAACCAGACCTGGCTTTGCTCCACCTCCTGCTCCACCACCTCCACCACCGATGGAGGGAGTTCCTCCACCCCCTCCACTTGCTGGCTTCCAAGCTGCTGTCATTCCTCCTCCACCATCTCCACCCTCCTTCCCGCCTCACCCTGACTTTGCTGCCCCTCCGCCCCCTCCTCCTCCAGCAGCAGAATATGCCGTTGTGCCATCTCCCCTGCTGCCACAGCCCACAAGTGGGGTGCCACCCCCTCCCCCTCCTCCCCCTCCCCCTGGCCCATCTGCTTCATCTTTTGGTGGCGTGGGTATTCCAGAGGCTTCTATCCAACAACCCGATTTGGTGCCCTCCAAGCCAAAATCCTCGTTGCCTGCTGTTAGTGAAGCTAGGAGTGACTTGCTTTCTGCTATTCGTCAAGGTAAGCTGCTTCTCATTTTGGATGTCTGAATGTAAACTACCTTAAAAGGCCAAGCACTATACCATAAACATACCCCAATTAGGAGTCATTCTGAGGTTGCTGGGATTCTGAATTTAGCAAAATGTACTGGAAATCATTTAACCACATACAAGGTATTTACTGCCATTGTGCATTTGGATTCCTAACCACCAATGGCAGCTTAACTTTTCTGTTCCATCCATCAAGTTTAAACAGCAACATTAGCTGCATCCTTTTGACTGGAACTAATTGAAAGTTTAAAAAATTGTCTGACTTCTGTGTTTTGAAGAGAGAATACCCATTGTTGCTTTATATGCTTTACTATGGCCTGAATTCTGCATTTGTTGCCTGCTTTTTAGTTTCTTCCTGAATCTCATTATTAAAATTATCTTCATGTAGCTCACTTTGTCCCAGTGTCTTATACAGTAGAATCTTCACTTTTGGCATCTTCCTCACTATATTTTTGCTTTTTCAAAGCATGTAACTTGCTGAAGAATTCTGTACAACTTGAACGTTACCTATTGTGTTGGGTTTTCCCCCTGATCATCATAGTTGCTGCTATTTCCCTTTTCTTGGGGAGGCAAGGCAGTGCACAACTATTTCACATCATGCTACTTCAGCGTTATGTGTTGCCTTGCTTCTACACCTACACATATGCACGCAGAGGAAGAGGGTACATATGAAAACAGCCACCTGCAACTTCTTTCTTTCTTTCCTTGCCAGGATTCCAGCTCCGTAAAGTTGAAGAAGAACGTGAACAAGAGAAGCGAGATGTTGTGGGCAATGATGTTGCAACCATCCTCTCACGCCGCATTGCAGTAGAATACAGCGATTCAGAGGATGATTCCTCAGAGTTCGATGAAGACGAGTGGTCTGATTAACCCCCCCGCCCTGCACATCCCCAATTTGGGGACGGAGGCGGATAAGATGGAGAGAGAATGGCCATCACTTCCCAGAATGCCAAACTTTTTTTTTTTTTTTGGCTTTCCTCTTTTTATCCAATAACCAAAGATTGATCTTCCAGGCTTCCAAATAACTGCTTTCCCTCCCAGTTGATGGGACTTACACATCCTTCCAAGAAAGAAGGAAAATGAACCCTAGATTTCCAGATTCTCAGGTTACTATGAAAATATATATATATATTGTTAAAGATTTTCTTTGGTTTAGGACTAAATTTGCAGCTCCTGGCACAACCAGGAAGTGTTGCTTAAAATGACAGGCAACCAACTTGCAAGTAATACTAATTTCCTTTGCAACAGTTATGTGAGGCATTGGAAACACTGTAGTAAGCTGGTGATTCACCTTCTTTGTCCCTCCATTAGGGTGTAATTTTACATTTCTGCTCTCACCAGCCCTAACAATACTTTCTTTATGCTAAATTTGGAATGTATTAATTTAGGTTGGAGTTTAAAAAACACTGTACCGTGTACACAACAGGATCATCTAAAAAAATTTTTTTATCTCTTTCCCCCCTCAGTGCCTGTTAAATCATAGAATGAGCCAGGGAACTACTTAACCCATAGTACCACTTAAGTTTTTATAATGAAGATGGAATTTATGCAAAATTAGGAAGAATTTCCCTCCGTGTGTCTTGAATACAAGAGCTTTAAGCGCTGGATGTGGTCTTGCTTTGCGATCAAAAGATTTGCAGATTCTCAGTTCAGTAGAAGGTCCTACATGAATCAACTTAGCTGTAAGAGTTCTTTTTTTTTTTTAAATCACATTATGCTAAAAGCTGAGATGTGATTAAATTAAGCCTATGACCCTTCTCTAGTCACCACATGGGAGTTTTCATGGACCAACTTGGCCATATGCAATATATGCCCAGTCTTCCTTATTATTTTCCTTATATATTTCTTTCTTTCTAGCAAACATTTATACAAATAGCTTTTGCGGGGGATTTTCTTCGCCAAGAACTAGTATACAGAATGTCAAAGGGCAGGCCCCTAAATTTATCCAGGCATCCCACTTACTGGAACAATGCTATCACTTTAATCAGAGTGATGGTTTGAATAGGGAACATGCCTACCTATTTATTGGTTTGAAAATCTTTGCCTTGCCATATGCTCTGCTGTTCTTTTCTCACTAGGATGTGCCTTGTAACAGCTTCTATATCCCAAAGAGTATTGTTTTCTTGCTTTTATCCTTACAGACCTTTATTTCAAGTCCCTCTTTTGTTTTGAATTTCTGGTTCCATAGCTATATAGCAGAGCTTTTCTTTAGCCAAAGGGAAGGACCAAACTTTCAGAAGTAGGTAGAAAATTTAAACTATCCTGAAAAAATTCATTTAGTTGGTGGTTTCCTTTGTGGCACTGAACAGCTTTGAGCATCTGATTAGAGTGCGTAAAGGATAGGCTGATGGGTAGTTTGCTCATGAATTATAAAACCTTTCAAAACACTCTATAATATAATTTCAAGAATGACCCTAAGGCTCATTAGTAACCCAGAATTAACATTCAAGTACTAAGAGTAGTGGCCAGCTTAGAAAGGAATGACAGAACTTAGCCTTCTTTTTGATTTGCCTGGTGTTTCATACACGGCAAAGCCTTTAACTTTGTGTGACTGTGCGTACTAAATCTTTGTGAATGGCTTCCTTCTAATGGAAGCCACAAGAACATAAAAAGGCCTTCAGGTGTGCATTCAGAATGACAACGGTTACCCACACATGGTGCCAAGAAAACTATATGGCTGTGCCAATGGAATTAGAAAGCCTCTATTTCGTATGACTCTTTTCCTAGCTGTCCCCATAAATGATTTTTGTGCAGATTGACTTTATCAGTTTATAATCAATGTGCTGCATAAGGATAATGGGCATTCTTAACGTAACGTTTAAACAGGTTTGACCTAAGGTTAACGTCTAAAAGTTTGAAAAAGGTGCTAATTCTATGTTCCTTGAGAGGTGGGTGTCCTGTACAGAGAGAGTGATTTATCTTGCCAGCTTTTCACAACCTGATGCCTCTCACTTACAGCTTTTAAATTGCTTGTCTGTGTTGACTAACAATTGAAAACACAGACACTCAAACATATCCACAAATTCTGAAGCTAGGGTTGAGTTCGGATGCTAGTTAGTAAAAAGGTTGAAGTTAACTCCTCAATTGAAATCCCTCTTACTGCTTTTTTGCACTTTTAAGATGTCAGACAACCTGCCGGAAAACAATAAGTTGTTACATTGAACATCATGTTCAATAGAACAACCCTGAAAAAATCATTTGAGAAACAGAAAACCAGTCAAACACCTCACTTAGCCAGTTGGGCCCCAATTATCAGCCAGGTCATGGAATCCTTAGGTGCTGAATGGCAACCGCCTCTCCTACTGCTCCAGTTTTAAACAGATCTTCTCCCTGAATTAAAATGAATGAAATTGTCTCTTTGAGACATTCATGCTTGGTGTGAAGCATCAAAATAGATTTGATTCCATCTCCAAAAGATGGCTTTAGTGTCGCTATTCTGATTTTAGAATAGTTAATTGAACTTAATTGAAGGCGTTAGTTAATTGAACTTAATTGAAGATGCTGTACAGATTTCATTCTCTGAGTTAGTTGGAGTACTTCAGGTTTTCTTACAGCAAATAATCAGCAGGAACAGCTGCTTGGTTCAATGGAAAGAATAGGGAGGAGAAGAAATTCTACTAGAACAATAGTGCTATTGCTTGATTTCTACAGAAAGCCCACCCATTATTTTGTTTCCTTTTTTTTTTAACTTTTGCATCACATCATCTGAGTAAATTAGTTTTTCAAATTTCTTTCTTTAAAATATATATACATATATTTTAAGTTCTAGATTGTGCCGCTGGGTCTAAAACCTTTTTCTGCAATGCTGGGTCCAAAATGTTTTCTACAGTCTTTGAAGATCAGCTTCTTCCCTTCTCCATCATAGTTGACCACATTATGAGGAAGGACCCTTCAAAATCTCAAGAAGTCGCAAAGCTTTGTGAAGCAGGCATTTGGGCAGAGAGAGACTTAAAATAGGCCGCCTGGATCACACAGCTGGGCAGAAGAGTACTGTGTCCTTTTACCAGACTGCCCATACTACAGAAACTGTGGGGCCTCCTCTGCTTGATTTCCTTTATATGTATTTTGGGAGGGAGAGAGTGACTTTTTCTTTCCTTATTGCACCTTTTAACATGATTCAGTTTAATTGATTTTAAAAACTAACAATGTTTATTATGTAGAATAAGTTGACTTCTATAAGTGCCTTATTTCATAAAATATATTTATGTAAGAGTAATTATTTCAAATGTATCATAGGTCATACCTGAACAGAAATATGGAATGTTGAAGAAAGTCTTCTTTTAACCAAGTTTTCTAAATGGTCAGTTTGTAAGAAAGAGATCAATAGATTATGCCTTAATTAACTGCCGGAGGAAATGGTTATGGATGCAGTTGATGGTTTTATCAGTAGAGACCAAGAGCATAAACATGTTTCAGAATATCAGGCAACAGCCAGCAGTATGTGATTCTAGGTGTTTGTCAGTGTATCCATGCACACTTGGTGCAAATGAGTGACCATTCCATGATATGCTGAAAGTCTGCTTTACTGTAAACTCGGCTGTTGTGAGAATTGGCTTTTGGAATGAATTCAAAAGTCCTTAAACCTAAAGCAAAAAGTGCTATAGTGACCTCAACCATGTCTATGCTAGAGGCCAGTGATCATCAGGGTGTTCCAGTACAGCCTGATGATCAGTACCAAATTCTGTCTGGCAGGTCTTGGGTGAAGAGGGAGCAGCACAATGGAGACTGGAATTGTTGCTTCTCTTCCATGCTCTCATGCAGAGTTTGGCTCTCCATATTAATTTTACTGTCCCTAGTTGCCATTTTTAATCCAAATCTTTTAAAAACTACTTTTATAACTTCTCTAGTTTTGTCTACCTTTCCTTGAGGGACTCCTTGTAAAGTATATGTGATTAAAACAAAACTTTTTACCATATAAACTTTAAAGAAATGAGAATCCTTTCTAGCCATTGTGTTATGTTTAGGGTTGGATGAATTGGTCACTTTCTCTAACACTTGGTTATAACCTGTTACTGCCATTCACACAAGATCATTTTTTCTTGCCTATATTTCCTGGTGTGTGTACAACTTACAAGTCTGAATGTATATGTGCTTTTTGTACACCCTCTCCCTCACCCCTACACATTGTTAACACAGGTGAGAATTTCACTGGAAAATTCAGTGCAGCTCAAGGAGTGCAGGATAACAGTTCCAGTTTATAGGAGTGAAAAATATCATTTAGTATTGCCTTGCAAAACTTGGTCCCGCTGCTATTCCTAATTTTCACCTTCTTTTAAAGGCACTTTTTACCTGCTGCCCTAAAGATCAGAAGTTACAATAATGGTACAGATGAATATTTGTGTGGTGTTTGGCAGCTCTTTTGGTATCCTTACATTCCACTTTGGATGTGCGTGGCTTAGTGGTTCTGGATACCTCAATCCACAAACCCTTTGCCCTGGTTTAAAACATTTGGAAACATTGATAAGCTTTCTGGATAGTCTATTTGTATGGCAGAGATCCTTGATTTTAGAAAACCACAAAGGTAGATGGAAGTGTGCAGGATAAATAGGGATCTGGGCCTTTAGTGGGGTTATAAAAAAGTCTTTTCCTTGAGAGAATATAATGCTAAGTATTCATTTTGTTCTAAAGATATTGAAAGGAATTGCCCAATAGCTTCCAGTTTTTCTCTCCTGACCACAGATCATCATGTATTCGCAACTTACTGCAAATTCTTTTGGAGACTCTACTATATGTGAATTTGATAAGAATTATATGTTCAAATATTCTTGCATATTGTCACAAGGATAAATAAAGAACCTCACTGATTTTTTTTCCCTGCCAGAAGAAAACAAATACATTTTTAGGTGAGTGAAGTTCATTAGACCTGGGGATAAACGCAGCTTAAGATGTAGAAACTCTAGAAGACTTCTTGATGCCGCAAATAGAAGCTGAGCATATCCTGGAAATTATAACTTCAAGTTCTAGTTTTCTGCCTCAGCCCTACACTTTACAACCATAATTGAGTCTGGCAATTAAGGTGATGTCATGACAGTTGTAAAGTGGGTCATTATGTGATTGACTCGATTTTGTGAACTTTTTGGGTGGTTAAGTAAATTGTCCAGGATAAGCGAGTGCTGCAATTCAGTGAATGCCATGATCATTAATCTTGTTATTCGCTGTAGGCCAGTTTCTGGCAAAATGTAAGTCGCAGTCTCATCATGCTGAAAATGGTCGTAATTGTGGGACAGTTGCAGAGTGCCCAAGTGAAGTCACGTGACTGTAGGAACTTTAGAACCTGGTGATAAATAGCTTTGGAGGGTCTATCAAACTTGGCAACTTTAAGACTTGTGGACTTCAACTCCCAGAATTCTGACTGGAGAATTCTGGGAGTTGAAGTCCACAAGTCTTAAAAGTTTCTGCCCACTATCACCCTTGCTATTTGTATTAGTTTTGGAAGTGTTAAATAGAAATATTAGAGACGAAAAGAGTATAAAAGGAATGAAAATTAAAAAGGAAGAATTTAAATTGCAAGCCTTTGCGGACGACTTGGCTTTTATTTTAGAAGACCCTTTAGAAACAGCACCAAAATTATTGGAAAAGATAGAGGCATATGGTAAGGTGGCTGGTTTGAAAATAAATAAAGATAAAACAAAGATCTTGACAAAGAATATGCTACTAAGACAAAAAGAAGAATTGGCAGACCTATTGAAAATTCAAGTCACGAACAAGGTTAAGTATTTGGGGATACATTTGACAGCAAGATGTAGTACATTAAAAGAGAACAATTACATTAAACTTAAACAGCAGATAGCGTTAGACTTGACAAAATGGGAAAATCTACAATTGTCATTAATAGGGAGAATCTCAACAATCAAGATGAATATCCTACCCAGAATTTTATACTTGTTTCAAACAATATCAATTAGGCTTGGAAAGGACTACTTTGAAGATTTAAATAAAATTGTGTTGAAATATATATGGCAAGGTAAGAAAGCGAGAATAAAGTTAAAACTCTTGCAGGATGCTAGAATTAGGGGAGGATTTGGTTTGCCTAATTGGGAGTTGTACTACCAAGCTACAAACTTGATGTGGGCTAAGGAATGGATAACAAAAGTTGCCAAGTTTGGGGACCCCTGGTCTATCAAACTTACAATGGTCATTAAGTAACTGGTTGGAAGTTGAGTACTACTTGCATTAGAATTGTTTTCTGCATGTTGTTTCCATTTAGACTGAGATTCTTCATGCCCTGTCCCAGTGTTTTGTTCAAAATATAATTGCTTGGCTTTCAATCTTGTATAAGCATGATAATGGATGTGCAACCCAGTCCAGTCACTCCCTCTTTCTATTTTAGTTTTACACGAGTGCTATAAGAACATACAAGTTTATTGAAATGAAGCCGTGGGGTATCTAACCTAATATCTGATGTCTTAACATGATCAACCTTCTATATCTGGACAGGTTACCATCAAAAAACCTTTGTCACGTGAAGCGGTAGTAAATAATGCAGTTTGAATGCTTAAAGAATTACTGTGTTACTTTCCCCAGATTTGCCATATTTAACTTCAAAGGGTAACTTATTCTAGTGTAACTGGGGGCAAGAAGGAAAAATATCCATTTTTGTTTTATTTCTTCCATGCCTTTTCTCTCTCAAATTAAAAAAATAAAACAGTCCTCTGCCCCTTCTCTCTACTCTTCATGGAAATAAGTAATTAAAAATACATGTGTTTTCAACATTTTCAAACAATGTTTGGCTCAGAGTTAAAGAAGTATCACTTGAAACAATATCAGTGCCGTTAAGCTGGGGGCTTTCTTTGAGAGCCAAGTTGGTGTAAGGTTGAAGGCATCAAGCTACAAAACTGGGAGACTGATTTGTTTTGCTTTAGGCACAAATCCAGCTGGGTTACCTTGGGCCAGTCACACACATGCAGCCCTAAGGAGGAGGAAATGGCAAACCACTTCTGAAAAACCTGGTCAAGAAACCTGCAGAGATTTGTCTAGGCGATCTCCAAGAATCAGGCACAACTGAAAAGATTTTTTTAAAAAGAAACTTTGGGTATAATTTTCCAAAATAGACTGTAGTGATTTTCTTTTTTAAAAAATTGCCGTCAGTGCTGAATATGTGGGAGGTTAGCACTTTTTTCCCCTATTGTTTGATGGGATGATAACTGTTCTGTAGCTCTGCTGTTGACAAAACTAAACTTGATTAAGCCATTAAATGATTCAGCCTATTTAAATACTGTTTGCATTTCCAATGGGTGAAATAAGAAGATGGATGCAGTGTTTAAAAATGTTTCCATAGTGGCTAGAATACCATGCGGCACAAATGCAACAGCTCGGCTCTTTAAAATCTGCCTGTGATGTTAAAAGCCTGTCTCTTCGTGTGTGTGTGTGTGTCTCTGCATACACACAGTGATGCTTTGGGGGGAGGGGAGCTCTTAATCGCCTGGATTAAAGTATACAACAGCTTGACAGGTCTCTCCTGAAGTGGTGGCTTTAATAAGCTCAGCATCACTCCCGAAAAAGCCCCTCCCCAAGATTGCAGGTTTCACTTCCAGGAGGAAAGCCAAACGGTTTCAGCGTACAGAACCAAAGGAATCTTCTGAGCATAAGGAAACGATTTCAGTGGAGTTTGTTTTTGAGTCTCACCATTGCCGTGTCTATGGCCCAATCCGTGCATGCTGGGGCTGTGCAGCTGCAAACCTGTGATTGGCCATCCCCACTGCAATGAAGCATGGCTTGAAACACTTGGCAAGAGCTAAAATTAAAACCACTGTGTAGCACCCATTTGTGTGCTACCCTTCATGATCAAACTGGTTTACCAAAAAGCCTCCATTTAGGAGTTCTTGACTTAATGGCCACAACTGAACCCAGGATTTATGTTGCTTAGCGAGACAGCAAATTTTGCCCCATTTTGCAACCTTTCTTGACACAGTTCAGTGAATCACTGCAGTGGTTAAGTTAGTGACGTGGCCGTTAAGTGAATCTGGCTTCTCCATTGACTATGCTTGTCAGACTCTGCTACAATCATCATAAATATGAGTCAGTTGCCAAGTGTGGATTTTTATCATGGGACCATGGGGATGCTGCAACAGTCATAAGTGAAAACTAGTCGTAACTTTTTTCAGTTGTAAGGACTACTGTCAAGGACTACCTGTATAAAATTAGACAGCTGTAGCCAAAGTATCGCAAGAAATTATTTAGGAAAGAGGCTAGAGTCTTGACATTCCCTTCAATAGGCTGCCATATGTTCACACGCTTGGGCAGGGAGGGGGCCAAGATGTTTTCTCTGCCTTAAAACAGGGGTCCCCAAACCTGGCAACTTTAAGACTTGTGGACTTCAACTCCCAGAATTCTCCAGCCAGCCAAGTTTAGAGACCTCTGCCTTAAAAGGAAAAAAAAGTAGGAGACGACAATGACTGCAAATTTCTCAACATAGGGCCAGGCGAATGGGAAAGTGCAATCAGCACTTGGACAGCTCCCCCCGCAGGCCGTTCAAGGGTTCCCTCCCTTCTCTTTCCAGCAGTCTCAAGCATATACTATAGAAGAGACTGCTTCCTTGGGCAGATGGAGGCTACTCTTAGCCATGATGGCCAAAGTCAAGCCTCACAAATGAACACAAGGAGAACCTCTCTCCAGGCTGAAGAAGGAGCGCTGATAGCGATTTGGTCCAAAAGAATAAGAGTGCAGCTGAGAGAACGAGTGGCAGGAATAGCAATAGCACTTAGACTTGCCTACCGCTTCACAGTGCTTTTACAGCCCTCTCTAAGCCCTTTACAAAGTTGGTGTATTGCCCCCAACAATCTGGAAGAAGAAAGAAGAAGCTCTTGTCATCTTGGCAGCAGCTTCTCCCACCCCACCCACCCAATTGTGGCTGTCTGTTGTGTTAAACTGGATGCATCCGGTATAAGCCTCTTGTTATATTTTGTCTGTTAGGCTAAGTTGTGTGGCTTGTTGGTTTTAGCATATGGGCCTACCCATTGTGGCTCACAAAGTGTCGTTTATTATTTGCATGTTGGGCAAATAATAATAGAACAATTGTTCAGTAAATGATATTTAGTGAAACATTTTAATTGGATCATCTTTCCCTGGTCCTTTCAAGAAATACTGGCCTCAGTATCAGCATCATCCCCACCACCCCAGTTGGACAAGCTTCTCGGCAAATACTGAAAACTTTAAAATGTCAGATTTGTTGAACGTGGTGTGGCAGGTGCAAAGCAGACTATGCTTGCTCTTCTGTGTGTCTACTCCCTTGAACCAGAAGCGCTGGGAATCAGCAGGAAGAACTCGATGAGCTCACTGGCTGTGTGCCATTCTTAACTAAGCCTTGATGAGAGCTTGCAGGTGTCATGAAAGAACCTAAACCAGAAGAAGGCAGTTGCTGAAAACTTGAGGGCTGCAACTGGTCTCTCTATCCCCATGATGGCAAACCTATGGCATATGTGCCAGAGGTGGCATACAGAGCCCTCTGTGGGCACATGTGCCATTGCCAGCTGCTCTGGTTTCCGGCCAGCTGGTCTTCACGGCCCCCAAAACAGGCTGTTTTCTGAGCTGTTTTTCAGCCCATTTTTTGGCCTTTTCCAGGCCAAAAACAGCCTGAAATATGGCCTGAAAACGGCCCGAAAAATGGCCTGGAACGGCCACAAAAAAAATTGCTCTAAAAACAGGTACGTGCATGCCAGCCAGCTGGTTTTTGGGTTGCTGGTGATACGGCACGTACATGGATGCGCGTTCCAGTTTGGGCAGCCGAAAAGGTTCACCATCACTGCTCTATCCTCTGCTGAGCTGAAAGGGGGCCACTCTGTGAAGATGCTCTAATGATGAAGCCATGTTTCAAATGTTTTAATTGGAAACAGGATGCTGCAGAGATGCAAACTGCTAACATTAACACCTGAACTCCCCAATTCAAGACAGTCCCAATACTTGTTCCCAAAGCAAGTAAATGCGTTAATAAATTGCATTAATAAACTAGGTGTTAATAAACTATTAATAAAACTAGTTAATTTTGCCCCATTTTACGACCTTTCTTGGCACCATTGTTAAGTGAATCACTGCAGCTTTTAAGTTAACAACCCGGTTAAGTGAATCTGGCTTCCCCGTTGACTGCTTGTAAGAAGGTCGCAAAAGGTGATGGCGTGACCTTGGGACGCACTGCAACCATCATAGATATGAGTCAGTTGCCATGCGCCTGAATCTTGATCATGTAACCATGTAGATGCTACAATGGTTTTAAGTGAAAAACAGTCGTAAGTCCCATTTTCCAGTGCCGTGATTTTGAACAGCCACTAAATCCGTGATGGTGAACCTATGGCACGCGAGCTGCAGGCAAACCTACCTCACTGGGCATGTGTGCACCTCACAGCTGATTTTCGGCTGGTTTGAGGCCTTTTTCGGGCTCCCAAAGGCTTGAGGAAGGCTTCTGCAGGCCAATAACTAGCCGTGTTTCATCACTTCCTGTTTTTCTGAACATACCGGAAGTGATGAAATGGGGCTAGTTTTCAGCCTGCAGAAGCCTTCCTCAAGCCTTTGGAGCCCGAAAAAGGCCTCAAACCAGCCGAAAATCAGCTGTGAAGCACAGTGCAGGTAAGGGGGTGGTGTGAGTGGGTGGGGATTACACGTGCATGTGTAGGGGACATGGGGGGGGGATTGCCTTCTGGGTCTGGGTGCTGGAACGCGAGCGTGCAAGCGTGCACACAATTTTTGGCATAGGAGCCCAAAAGGGTTAGCCACCACTGCACTAAATGAACTGTAAGTCAAAGGCTACTTGTAGTATGGGGTGGGGCATGCAATGGGTGTGCCAGCAACTTACTGTTCCAGGAGGAAAGGGGCCTTGTGACACTCCTTTTGTGCCACAGATCTTTGTCCCTGGATTGTGCTTTTAGCCTCCACAGATCAGTTTAATTTCTCCTCGTGAGTTTATATTAACAATACCAAGATCAAGCAGGCACAGGCACTGCCTGTCCCCTCTGATGTCATGTTTTATCTCCCCCATTCCCTTAATTTCCCTTCTGGGATCAGAGGCGAGATGAAATATTGTCAGCTCCAATCAGTGTTATAAAGGGATGCTTTTCCACTTTGTGGTGTGCTGTGTCATCCTGGTTGTTGGCCAAGTTGTATTATTCAGGAACCTGGAGGAAAAAGGGCAGAATATGCTGCAAAGAGAAGAAGTGTGTTTATGTGGCAAGGGAGGCGTTCGGACAAAACTTCCTTGTTTGCTCCCTTTTCCAAAAGCAAACTTGTCGCCTTGCTGTTCTAACCCTCCGT